TTTAAAAAAAAGGTGCAAATTATAAACGTAAGTTAATTGTAAAGTGCAGCTTCGCATTAATCAAATATTGGTTGACAAGCTTTATGACTCTAAAAGCGAAGAGTGGAAGAAAAAACGAAAGACTTAAGCTAGAAACTTTAAAATAAATTGAAGTGATTTTAAAGTAAAGCAAAATTTTTGTGAAAAACTATGTTTAATTGTACATAATTAAAGTAATTAATTAAAATGAAAGACTTATGCAATAATCTTTTAGTAATTGCTAGTTAGTTGATAAAATTAAAAATCTTTATTAGCCTTTGCAGTGTTTAGTGTTTAAACAGAAGAAAAAATCAAAATTGCTTTTCTTAATTACTGGACTAATTCTTGACGGAACTAGAGCCGAACTAGAACTGAACTAGTACTGAACTAGAACTGAACTAGAACTGAACTAGAACGGAACTAGCTGAACTAGAACTGAACTAACGAACTAGAAACTGAACTAGAACTGAACTAGAACTGAACTAGAACTGAACTAGAACTGAACTAGAACTGAACTAGAACTGAACGAGAACTGAACTAGAACTGAACTAGAACTGACCTAGAACTGAACTAGAACTGAACTAGAACTGAACTAGAACTGAACTAGAACTGAACTAGAACTGAACTAGAACTGAACTAGAACTGAACTAGAACTGAACTACTAGAAACTGAACTAGAACTGAACTAGAACTGAACTAGAACTGAACTAGAACTGAACTAGAACTGAACTAACTGAAACTAGAACTGAACTAGAACTGAACTAGAATGAACTAGAACTGAACTAGAACTGAACTAGAACTGAACGAGAACTGAACTAGAACTGAACTAGAACTGAACTAGAACTGAACTAGAACTGAACTAGAACTGAACTAGAACTGAACTAGAACTGAACTAGAACTGAACTAGAACTGAACTAGAACTGAACTAGAACTGAACTAGAACTGAACTAGAACTGAACTAGAACTGAACTAGAACTGAACTAGAACTGAACTAGAACTGAACTAGAACTGAACTGAACTGAACTAGAACTGAACTAGAACTGAACTAGAACTGAACTAGAACTGAACTAGAACTGAACTAGAACTGAACTAGAACTGAACTAGAACTGAACTAGAACTAAACTAGAACTGAACTAGAACTGAACTAGAACTGAACTAGAACTGAACTAGACTGAACTAGAACTGAACTAGAACTGAACTAGAACTGAACTAGAACCGAACTAAACTGAACTAGAACTGTACTAGAACTGAACTAGAACTGAACTAGAACTGAACTAGAACTGAACTAGAACTGAACTAGAACTGAACTAGAACTGAACTAGAACTGAACTAGAACTGAACTAGAACTGAACTAGAACTGAACTAGAACTGAACCAGAACTGGACTAGAACTGGACTAGAACTAGAATATAAAACAGAGTATGATTTGAAGTTCTTAACTTGAAAATGAGTGATATTCTTAACAAGCAACTAAAAGGAAAAATGAAAAGGGTCTGATGGAGAACTGAACTAAAACCTGTTAAAATTTTTCAAAGCACCTTTTTAATTTGTGAATTGTTATTTAGAGTCAATTAAAATCAAAACATTTGGACTACCACATATGTACATCGTATAGAAAAACTAATAAATATTACACATCTGCGTGAAGACACAGTGGATCAAGGCAAAAGTGTGTGCGTAATTAATGCTTGTATTAGATAATAATGACATAATAAACACTGCACTTTACTTTGGTAACTAAAACATAATTTGAATAACACCTTTTTGTTAAGTAATAGCCTGTCTGTCATTAAAAAGAAATATTTCACTGTCTATAGCAAACATGCATAATGCTAAGTAAATTACATAAGTACTCGATATTGGTTGTTTCTAAATCTAATATAAACAAATATTCAATGTTGTTTTTTTTAAATATCTGTTTTAATTTATTTGATTTTTTAAATTCTCCAGCCGGTTTTCAAATGTTTACAAAATTTTGCAAAATAATATTATTAAAAAATAAAAAAAGTGCTAGAAAAACGAGTTAATAATTGCTTTTTAAAAATAAAACACATAATGCAGAAAAAAACTCACTTTAAACTGCTCTATTACATTTTTTCAATTTATATTTTTTTTCTATATTTTATTGAAATATGCATAAAAAAGGAAGTTGTGCAAATTTGTCTATCTGTGATTATATATTGAACTAAAAATCTAGTTTCTCTATATTTATAATAAAAAAGGTGAACAAAAAAAAACCGAGTTGTATGTAAATAAATAATAATAAACTGGTTTAAATTAAACTATGATTCAATATAGAATGTTAACAAAAAAAACTAAGTGTATTAACAAAAAATAATAATAAAACTAATCAACTATACTACTAATGTAAAAACTAGTAAATTATGTAAAAAAACTTATAGATACAAACCCAAAATGGTTAACGAAGGCAAACTCATGGGAAAATAGATTTTACTTATTATTTTATTTTTGGTATTTATTATTATGAATGAATGAAATTTAAATTAAATGTCAAGAGAATTCAAAATTTAAATTGGCAAATATAGGACTGGATTTGAAAATTATCTACATGTGTGGAAAAGTCTAATGTAGAGGACAGTTTGTGGTAAACAAATTTTTTAAAACATCAAACTTCGTTCAATACAATATTTATGTAATTTTTAGAAAATGAATGAAATAAGTTTTCTTTAAATAATTGTTATAAATAAGATCAGTTCTAGTTCAGTTCTAGGTCAGTTATAGTTCAGTTCTAGTTCAATTCTAGTTCAGTTCTAGTTCAGTTTAGTTCAGTTCTAGTTCAGTTCTAGTTCAGTTCTAGTTCAGTTCTAGTTCAGTTCTAGTTCAGTTCTAGTTCAGTTCTAGTTCAGTTCTAGTTCAGTTCTAGTTCAGTTCTAGTTCAGTTCTAGTTCAGTTCTAGTTCAGTTCTAGTTCAGTTCTAGTTCAGTTCTAGTTCAATTCTAGTTCAGTTCTAGTTCAGTTCTAGTTCAGTTCTAGGTCAGTTATAGTTCAGTTCTAGTTCAATTCTAGTTCAGTTCTAGTTCAGTTCTAGTTCAGTTCTAGTTCAGTTCTAGTTCAGTTCTAGTTCAGTTCTAGTTCAGTTCTAGTTCAGTTCTAGTTCAGTTCTAGTTCAGTTCTAGTTCAGTTCTAGTTCAGTTCTAGTTCAGTTTAGTTCAGTTTCTAGTTCAGTTCTAGTTCAGTTCTAGTTCAGTTCTAGTTCAGTTCTAGTTCAGTTCTAGTTCAGTTCTAGTTCAGTTCTAGTTCAGTTCTAGTTCAGTTCTAGTTCAGTTCTAGTTCAGTTCTAGTTCAGTTCTAGTTCAGTTCTAGTCAGTCTAGTCATTATGTTCTAGTTCAGTTCTAGTTCAGTTCAGGTTCTAGTTCAGTTCTAGTTCAGTTCTAGTTCAGTTCTAGTTCAGTTCTAGTTCAGTTCTAGTTCAGTTCTAGTTCAGTTCTAGTCAGTTTAGTTCAGTTCTAGTTCAGTTCTAGTTCAGTTCTAGTTTCAGTTCTAGAATTCAGTTTAGTTCAGTTCTAGTTCAGTTCTAGTTCAGTTCTAGTTCAGTCTAGTAAGTTCTAGTTCAGTTTCTAGTTCAGTTCTAGTTCAGTTCTAGTTCAGTTCTAGTTCAGTTCTAGTTCAGTTCTAGTTCAGTTCTAGTCAGTTCTAGTTCAGTTCTAGTTCAGTTCTAGTTCAGTTGAGTTCATTCTAGTTCAGTTCTAGTCAGTTCTAGTTCAGTTCTAGTTCAGTTCTCGTTCAGTTCTAGTTCCGTTCTAGTTCAGTTCTAGTTCAGTTCTAGTTCAGTTCAGTTCGTTCTAGTTCTAGTTCGTTTAGTTCAGTTCTAGTTCAGTTCTAGTTCAGTTCTAGTTCAGTTCTAGTTAGTTCTAGTTCAGTTCTAGTTCAGTTCTAGTTCAGTTCTAGTTCAGTTCTAGTTCAGTTCTAGTTCAGAGTTTCTAGTTCAGTGTCTAGTTCAGTTCTAGTTCAGTTTCTAGTTCAGTCTAGTTCAGTTCTAGTTCAGTTTCTAGTTTCAGTTCTAGTTCAGTTCTGGTTCCGTTTTCTAGTTCTAGTTCAGTTCTAGGTTCAGTTCTAGTTCGGTTCTAGTTCAGTTCTAGTTCAGTTTCTAGTTTCAGTTTCTACGTTAAGTTCTAGTTCAGTTCTAGTTCAGTTCTAGTCAGTTCTCGTTCAGTTCTATGTAGTCAAGTTTCAGTTCCTAGTTCAGTTATCGTCAGTTCATCAGTTCTGGTTCCCTTCCGGTCTCACCTTCTAGTTCACTTCTGGTTCAACTTCTAGTTCAGTTTTATTCAGTTCTACTGTCAGTTATTGTTTAGTTGTATTAAATCTTCTATATATTTTAGAATATGTTTATTTTCTCGGATATTTTTAAATCGTTTTTTAATAGCGACCACCATGTGTGTGGAGCTTGCCACTCAAAATTAATTGTTCATAAAAAAACACCAAAAAAGTTTTTTGCTAGTTCTAAAAATAAGACTTGATTTAGCAATAAAAACTACCTGTTGTGATTAGAGCTGAGAATTTATTGAATTAAAGCTATTATGCGAGCCAGCGAAAAACCCCCAGTGTTTGGCTTTTGTGTGAGAAAGACCTAAGACACAAACACTAAAGAAGCCACTTTATACAAAAAATAAATAAAAATATTTTTAAATATTTATTAACTTTATGGTTATTGATTCTTTAACATTAAATAAATTTAAATAAAGCAACTAAAACAAAATTAAGTTTTTTTTCCTTTATTTTGGTAATAAACAAATTGTGGAAGTTATTAATTTTGTTTGGCACTATGTTTGAGATATGGCAATAGGTCAGGGTTTTTTTAAATAAAAAACTTTGGAAATGAAAACAATCATTTTTTACACATGAATTCTTTTTTGGCTTTAAGAAAAAAAGGTCATTTTTCATTAGTAATATTAAGAAAAATATTAAATTTTCTGTGTTAAGTTAACTAATTTTTGTAAATTTTCATATGTATATTTACAGATATTTTGTTTCCACCGTCTTGCAATTTCAAATCTATCGTGGTATGTGTCGTGCTGCTGGCCAATATGATCCCAATGATCCACGTAAACCTTTGCATAAATGTGATGTCTATCGTCATCCTGAAGCGGGCAATTTATTAAAGTGAGTTGCTATAAGATATAGTATTTTAGCAACACAATAGACTTAAGTTGTTATAATTTTCATTTTTTGTTTTATAAATTTCTAGACAAATTATGTCCAAAGGCGCTTCACAGCCCTGGCAAGAGGTTTTGCAGGAGACTTTGGGTGAAGGCCGCTTAGATGGCTCAGCCTTACGTGAGTATTTTGCTCCCCTTGAGGAATGGTTACGTTTGGAAAATTTGCGCACTAATGAATATGTCGGATGGAATTATGATGGTGATTACTGTAAACGCAGCATTGAAACTGCCAATCTGCAAGTATTTGGCGGCTATTACAATCACTCACCTGGTGTTGAGCAAATAAATCACTTATTGCTTGGCACAATAATGTTATCATATTTAATTGTATTTTATTTAAAATTATAATTGTTTAAAAAGTTTTTATTTATAATTTATAAGTTTTTTTATAAGGCACAGCATTTTTCTATTTAACACATAAACATACACGCAGAGAAAAAGTATGGTTTGACATGGTTCCAGTAATCATTATAACATGATTAGAAGACTAATTCTGTTCTAGTTCTTTTCCAGTTCTGTTCTAGTTCTGTTCTATTCTGTTCTAGTTCTGTTCTAGTTCTGTTCTAGTTCTGTTCTAGTTCTGTTCTAGTTCTGTTCTAGTTCTGTTTCTAGTTCTGTTCTAGTTCTGTTCTAGTTCTGTTCTAGTTCTGTTCTAGTTCTGTTCTAGTTCTGTTCTAGTTCTGTTCTAGTTCTGTTCTAGTTCTGTTTCTAGTTCTGTTCTAGTTCTGTTCTAGTTCTATTCTAGTTCTGTTCTAGTTCTGTTCTAGTTCTGTTCTAGTTCTGTTCTAGTTCTGTTCTAGTTCTGTTCTAGTTCTGTTCTAGTTCTGTTCTAGTTGTTCTAGTTCTGTTCTAGTTCTGTTCTAGTTCTGTTCTAGTTCTGTTCTAGTTCTGTTCTAGTTCTGTTCTAGTTCTGTTCTAGTTCTGTTCTAGTTCTGTTCTAGTTTCGTTCTAGTTCTGTTCTAGTTCTTTCTAGTTCTGTTCTAGTTCTGTTCTAGTTCTGTTCTAGTTCTGTTCTAGTTCTCTTCTGTTCTGTTCTGTTCTAGTTCTGTTCTAGTTCTGTTCTAGTTCTGTTCTAGTTCTGTTCTAGTTCTGTTTCTGTTTAGTTCTGTTCTAGTTCTGTTCTAGTTCTGTTCTAGTTCTGTTCTAGTTCTGTTCTAGTTCTGTTCTAGTTCTGTTCTAGTTCTGTTCTAGTTATGTTCTAGTTCTGTTCTAGTTCTGTTCTAGTTTGTTCTAGTTCTGTTCTAGTTCTGTTCTAGTTCTGTTCTAGTTCTGTTCTAGTTCTGTTAGTTCTGTTCTAGTTCTGTTCTAGTTCTGTTCTAGTTTGTTCTAGTTCTGTTCTAGTTCTGTTCTAGTTCTGTTCTAGTTCTGTTCTAGTTCTGTTCTAGTTCTGTTCTAGTTCTGTTCTAGTTCTGTTCTAGTTCTGTTCTAGTTCTGTTCTAGTTCTGTTCTAGTTCTGTTCTAGTTCTGTTCTAGTTCTGTTCTAGTTCTGTTCTAGTTCTGTTCTAGTTCTGTTCTAGTTCTGTTTTAGTTCTGTTCTAGTTCTGTTCTAGTTCTATTCTAGTTCTGTTCTAGTTCTGTTCTAGTTCTGTTCTAGTTCTGTTCTAGTTCTGTTCTAGTTCTGTTCTAGTTCTGTTCTAGTTCTGTTCTAGTTCTGTGCTAGTTCTGTTCTAGTTTGTTCTAGAACTGAATGATAGCCCTAACCATTTCAAATCACATTTTTTCTTTGAGTGCAGTCATATGCATACATATTTGGTTGCTAAACAATCTAAACACTAAAACAAACACTTCATACAATAAAGTCATTATTAAATTGTCATTAAATTAAATTAATATAATAAAAAAAATCAAATAATATCAATTACTTAAAGTTGTTTTGTTGTTATTCAATTACTTCTAGTCTAGGAAATTTACTTCCGTTTTGGTTATTTGCTAATAGTCAATTTATCTTTATCTTTGTAAGTTTGTTCTCACATTTAGAAAATTTTTATAATATATGAGTTTTGTAATAAAACGCCCAAAACCTGCTTTAAATTTCAATTAACGTTTTTATTTATTAAGTTTTTTTTTTCGCCAGTAAACAAACGAACGACTGTTGCTGAAAAACTATTTTGACAAATTGCCATAAATTTACGTTCTAAATGCAATCAATGTCAATGCTACAAAAAATTGTGAAAAACAACAACGCACTTGCTGTAATTTCAATACTTGCCTCAGCAGCAACAATAGCAAAACAACACCCTAAAAAACATGCACACGAAACAAAAGCTATCAAACTCTACACACCGAACAGGAAATATTCTCCAAACATGCGTTTTTAGTTTTCGAAAATTTTCAAAAAAAAAAAAAAAAAAAAAAAAAACACGAATCAATTTGTATGTCATGCGGGTCATTGCTGCTGTAACTGCAAACTCATGTGTGTCTACGAAAATATACAAATCATTTACAAAAATATAAAAATTACTAGACTTTTGTCTGGTTTGGAAAAGTTTAATAAAAAAAATGCAAAATTTTTTGAGGTGCAGCCCCTCATAGAGTGCGTATGTAAATTTTTTAAATGCCACCACAGAGGATTTGACATTTTGTGGTTTACCTGCTATCTATTTAAACACATAAGCTAATCATTCATTTCATTTTTTTGGTTGAACAGCTAAAGTGTTTGAGCTGTGGAATATATCCGGTAATTTTTAAAATAAAATTTATAATTATATGGTGAAGATAATAACCGTTAACTACTATACAACGGAACTCGAACGGAAGAACTAGAACAAAAGAACAGAACAGAACTAGAACAGAACTAGAACAGAACTAGAACAGAACTAGAACAGAACTAGAACAGAACTAGAACAGAACTAGAACAGAACTAGAACAGAACTAGAACAGAACTAGAACAGAATTAGAACTGAACTAGAACAGAACTAGAACAGAACTAGAAACAGAATTAGAACAGAACTAGAACAGAACAGAACAGAACTAGAACAGAACTAGAACAGAACTAGAACAAACTAGAACAGAACTAGAACAGAACTAGAACAGAACTAGAACAAACTAGAACAGAACTAGAACAGAACTAGAACAGAACTAGAACAGAACTAGAACAGAACTAGAACAGAACTAGAACATAACTAGAACAGAAAGAACAGAACTAGAACAGAACTAGAACAGAACTAGAACAGAACTAGAACAGAACTAGAACAGAACTAGAACAGAACTAGAACAGAACTAGAACAGAACTAGAACAGAACTAGAACAGAACTAGAACAGAACTAGAACTAGAAGAGAACTAGAACAGAACTAGAACAGAACTAGAACAGAACTAGAACAGAACTAGAACAGAACTAGAACAGAACTAGAACAGAACTAGAACAGAACTAGAACAGAACTAGAACAGAACTAGAACAGAACTAGAACAGAACTAGAACAGAACTAGAACAGAACTAGAACAGAACTAGAACAGAACTAGAACAGAACTAGAACAGAACTAGAACAGAACTAGAACAGAACTAGAACAGAACTAGAACAGAACTAGAACATAACTAGAACAGAACTAGAACAGAACTAAACAGAACTAGAACAAACTAGAACAGAACTAGAACAGAACTAGAACAGAACTAGAACAGAACTAGAACAGAACTAGAACAGAACTAGAACAGAACTAGAACAGAACTAGAACAGAAACTAGAACAGAACTAGAACAGAACTAGAACAGAACTAGAAAGAACTAGAACAGAACTAGAACAGAACTAGAACAGAACTAGAACAGAACTAGAACAGAACTAGAACAGAACTAGAACAGAACTAGAACAGAACTAGAACAGAACTAGAACAGAACTAGAACAGAACTAGAACAGAACTAGAACAGAACTAGAACAGAACTAGAACAGAACTAGAAAGAACTAGAACAGAACAAGAACAGAACTAGAACAGAACTAGAACAGCTAGAACAGAACTAGAACAGAACTAGACAGAACTAGAACAGAACTAGAACAGAACTAGAACAGAACTAGAACAGAACTAGAACAGAACTAGAACAGAACTAGAACAGAACTAGAACAGAACTAGAACAGAACTAGAACAGAACTAGAACAGAACTAGAACAGAACTAGAACAAACTAGAACAGAACTAGAACAGAACTAGAACAGAACTAGAACAGAACTAGAACAGAACTAGAACAGAACTAGAACAGAACTAGAACAGAACTAGAACAGAACTAGAACAGAACTAGAACAGAACTAGAACAGAACTAGAACAGAACTAGAACAGAACTAGAACAGAACTAGAACAGAACTAGAACAAACTAGAACAGAACTAGAACAGAACTAGAACAGAACTAGAACAGAACTAGAACAGAACTAGAACAGAACTAGAACAGAACTAGAACAGAACTAGAACAGAACTAGAACAGAACTAGAACAGAACTAGAACAGAACTAGAACAGAACTAGAACAGAACTAGAACAGAACTAGAACAGAACTAGAACAGAACTAGAACAGAACTAGAACAGAACTAGAACAGAACTAGAACAGAACTAGAACAGAACTAGAACAGAACTAGAACAGAACTAGAACAGAACTAGAACAGAACTAGAAACAGAACTAGAACACAGAACTAGAACAGAACTAGAACAGAACTAGAACAAAGAACTAGAACAGAACTAGAACAGAACTAGAACAGAACTAGAACAGAACTAGAACAGCAGAACTATAAAACTAGATCAGAACAAAGAAGAAAAATTATAAAGATTTTATATAGAAAACTTTAAAAAATTTTCGTGCAAAAAATTATGTAAATTTCTATAAAATAATTCATTTTATGAAATTGTTTCTAAGAAGCAAATCTCCCATCTCTTAAACAATTACATCAATATTTGTTTCCGTCTAAAACAAACTCTCTCTTTAACATTATACAAATATTATCCTCTAACAAAATCACATAATTTATTAGTTCCGCCAAATAAAATATCACCCACCTTAATTTTTGTTGCGGTGCTAATGATCGCTGTGTGTTAAATCAATTTAGTTGCGACTAATCTTATGACTATTTAGAAATAAATAAACTTAAATCCACTTACTATTTTTTGCACTCGTACTATACATACTTATTGTAGTAACTAAGTATTAGCAACTGTACAAGTATGTTTTACTTAATGTGGGTGTAATCGCCATTTTTGTATGATCACATAGTAAGTGTAACTACTCCAACATTCTTTTTTGTATGAAACTGCCATCTCATTATGGTTCATTAATCTCTTAAGTGATCTTGGGATAGTTGTGTTCTACTATCAGTTTTATTTTCTGTACTTTTATTAAGTATTTTGTTCATATTTGTAAGTTGTTGTCGTAGTTAGTTTTAATTCAATTAAGTTGATTTTTTTATTATTTTATTTGTTTTAAATGAATTTAAAACATTAAAAGACAACACAAAATTTGTTGTGGAAAATGTGACAAGAAGCTAGAAAAGAAACATGTATGAAAATGAAAATAGTTCGGTAATAGATTTTTTTACTTGAACAGATTATCTTATCACTGTTGTTATGAACATCATGTTGTCACCC